AATCATTTTGTTGTCACTTGACGCATTTTAATACATAAGATTTATTCATCAATGTGAAAACATGCTCTCTCCCACTCAGTCACACACATAAATGTGTATGGTCTCATGCATCAAAGAGCCAGGGTTCTTGAACTCTATGCCTGGTTCAATCTCTTACACATTAAAGTAGCTTTGAACAAGTTCTTAACGCTTCTGGGCCTCAGTCATCCCATCTGTAAAATAAGTTTATAAGTGTTTATAAGTTTATTTAGTTAATGTGCTTCCACACACTTGGAGGAAAGATGCTACGGAAGTGTATAATCTAGCTGACTCAAGGTAGGAAGTAAACTGTATCTAGTAAAGGACTGCAGCAAACAACTTATCTGTAGGCGAAGAGGGCACTGTAAGAAAAAGAAGAGGAGACAAATAGATGAAATAGACAGATGTTGGAGGAAAAGAAGTCTAGTCTTGCGGTCAAGGCACTCAAATAGGACTTGGGAAATCTGAGTTAAATTCCCACAGTACTAGCACAGATATCACGGGGATAATCATACTTCCTTTCCCCCACCCTATGTATTCTCTATTTAGATTGTTATTCTTCCAGACAGGAACTGCCCAGGATAAGGCAGACCTGGGTTTCAGGTAAGGCCTCCAGGTTCCACTGTAATGCAAATGAATAATAAGGGTCAGTCACCATTGCATTGCACAGGTGTCTCTGCATGGTCACAGCTGTTTCTTCACACCTTACTCAGGATTTAGGAGCAAAGACTCAATCTAGTCTTTAGACAGTTAACCACCTTGGGGCAAGGAAGTCATCGTGTTTGCCTATGAAGAGTGATGCTATGCAGCCTTGTGGAGCTGTGTAAATAATAATATATTTCTATATAAGCTTGAGATCCTGGATAAAAGGTGCTGTAAACCCATTAAGTATTATTATGAGTGACAATTTCATCTTTTGGAATTTATGAAAGGGCTATTGCTAAATGATCACTTGCCTCTGAAATTTTATTATAGGTGGGGTTGGAAGCTCCAACTATTATTATGGTTGCCTGCCATTTCTCATCCTAAGACCCAGTTTTCAGTTGCTTATAATTTTGCCAAACTTTGTTTGGACTGAAATTGTCTATGCCAGGGGTCTGCCTCATAGTGGATGTCTGCACTGCAATTTAAACCTGAGCTTGAGCCCAACCCAAAGTCTAGCACCCCATGTATCCATACACTAAATGTGCTAACCTACCTTAGAGTTAGGGTCCTAGACCCTTCAGGACTGGTGGATTCGAGCCATGCTGCTGTCCTGTGTGCATGTGGCCCCAGCTTGACTTGGGTCCTGGAAGCCCTCCAGATGTCTCCCAGAGTTCGTAGTGGCAGAGGAGCAGTGCTGCAGGCACCAGTGTAGTGGCCAGAAGCACCATTACTGCCTGGCTACACATGCTCCTCCTTGCCGCTGTGTGATGTTTGCTTTGATCAGGGAGGAAACTTGACAGGTGGAAGGCAGCTCTCACTTGCCAGCATGCTGAGGATCATCCTCTCCCCCAACCCTACTGAACAGAGAGCTCTGCCAATCCCAATTTGTACACTGCAGTTGCTGGGTTACGCTCTGCTCTCTTTTCCTTACTCACGGCCCCCCCTGCCCTCCTCTGGGCTTCATGTGCAGAGATGCTCAGGCAACAAGCACTATGATGATGGTGAATGGGAGCCAGCCCCCAAACTCCCCTCCGCCTCCCAGGAATCCCTTATCCCTGCCTCCTGGACTGTGGCAGGGGCACAGCTAAGGGGTCCCTAGGGAGGCAGATGGGAAGTTTGCAAACTGCATCCCAAACCCTGTGTATGCATTTCACTGCTCCATGGCCAGAGGTAGTTAGGGGGTGGGTGTTTTGTCTTTGAAACCTACCTAACTTTTATGTCAAACTTTAAAACAGACACACAAAAATACATGAAAATCCAACCAACCAAAACCACTTAAATTGAACATCCCAGTTTAATAATTCAGAATTACAGTTTCTTTTTAATGGTTGGACAGTCATGTAGATTGAGGTGCTAATTATCCTCAGAACAGGGGTACATGGGCATTGTCCTGCCAATGTAACTCAGCATAGTGGTGAAGAGCCCAGTTCCCAGATTAGATGGCTAAGGCCTTTTCAGCTGCAATTTTCCAAAAATATTCAGTTTGAGACAGACAAATGTAATGAAAAATTTCAGTGCAAATGGAGCTTGCCCTGAGCAAGAAACAAACATTGCTGGCAACTGGAGTTGTTTCCCACCTGTCAGGTTTGCTCCCAGCTTCGGGCAAATTCCACACAGCAGTCCAAAATTGAGCATAACTATAAGCAACTGAAACCAGGGATTTATCATGAGAAGTAACAGACATACTTAACAGATTAATTTTAAAATGCATATATAAAAAACTCAGTTATTAGCAATTCAATAATATCTATGCCATTTCATATTTGTATTTGTTTTTCATGCTGTAGTCTATGTTTGAACATTTTTCATATTTAAAAAAGTGTGTGTAGGTGATCAGCAATGCTGACAGTCAGAGCTGAGTCTGTTTAATAACTGTGAGAAGCAAGGGGTTTGAGATGCAGTAAAATAATAAGTAAGTGTCCAGGTTTGAAAAGCCACCCCTTATAGTAATATATGCTTAACATGTCTCCCAATTAAAAGGACCAACTCTCAGAGTCTATGGAAAGAAAACTTTGGACTTTCCTCCATAGCACACAAGCAGAACAAAAGGAAAAAGCCAACAGGGGAATAAATGAGGTTTTTTAAAATATCAGTCAGTGCACCCTTTTCCATAACATGAGAAGCATCAGTACCTCTGCCAAATAATGTCACTGTCACAGTTCATGCATCCTCAGATTCCACAAGAAAAAGAAAGGCAGCAACAGTAACACATGGTTTACGTAAATGTTACTTTAATAAGTAGAGAGTTGGGTCAACATTTTCCTTAAGCCAAAATCCTAGGCATTCTGTTTCAATGTCCCTTATACACTGCATTTGGTTCCACCCCCCCGCCCCAAAACAAAGGCTTTTTTAAAATACTCAAACTGTTGTCCTCTCACTTGTAGTTATAACCACCATATGCAAGTTCATCTATAAGGCATTACTCTGGAGACACACTGAAAATCAACTGGAAAGACACTTACAGTACATCAAGAGGTATATCAGAGGCAGATTATTAAAGCCCATCATGCTAGGCATGTATTCTAATGTTCCCCTCTCCTGAGAGAAAATATCATGTAGTTGGTCCCTCTCCAAGTGGGTGATATTCATTAAAGGTTTCTGTGCAACAATAGACTCTTTCACTCAGAAACTGCTCCACTAGAGGGATTCTTGTGAGTCATCATTTTTATTTGGGATTTTATGTCTGGATTTTTGCCTGAGCTATTTTCAACCAGGAAAAAAATATGTATTTTTTTTAAAACGTATTACATTGTGTACTGAGTACAGATGTCTGAAGATAGGAGTGGATAATGGAATTTCTGATTAAGGCTATTTCAGACAAATTATATCCACAGAAGTTAGTAAGTAACATTGGTACTGATACAGTGTCTGTACAGTTACAATCCACTTCCCATCTGGATAAACAATGAGGCCAAAGGCAGAATATTTTATCCTAATGAGAGAGCTGCGTGAAAGAGACCGCTATAGAGTAAAAGAGCACAACAGCACTCTTGTCACACTATTTTTTTAAATGTCTCTTTACAAAGTAGTTAGTTGTTGAGATGGGGGTAAAGGAGGTGTAAGAGGGAAGTGCAGGCACATAACAGTCTCTCATTTGCTTCCAGAAAATGCATCCTCACATCTATCGCCGGACTGTGTTAGACACAGGTGCATGCTAGAGCATGCCTGGCAAGAATGTATCGTCGTTAGCTCGTTCTCAGACAGTACTTGCCAAAAGGAACCAATGAGGTGCCTCTAGCACTCTGATTAATTCATGTATAAAAGATACTCAACCCCTTGCAACAGAATGAAACTATATAGCTATTCAAAACACATATGTTGAATCCTAGTTCTGTTCCCCTTGAAGTCAATAGAAGTACTCAAATGGCCGTCAGAACAGTCCCTAGAAATCTACATGTAAAATTTCCATTAACATAACACTGGGTACTGACAGCTCTCATTTTGGTTTGTTTAAACACAGAGCTGTACCAGCCATGTAACGTACATTGTTTGACACTGAGAATTGCAATAAAAACCTATTGCTCGGAAGTTTGTAAAAGTAATGCTCAAAACTGAAGACCAAAAGAATTACTGTCCATCAGAAGTATTCCCCCAGCTCCTCATGCCCACCCCAGAGAGGAAGAGTTTTCTCATAACCAAAAACAATCAGTCTTTAAAATATATAGACCCATAACTTCAGTGGGGCCAGGATTTCACCCATATATTTTTGCCCCACCTGTGCTGTAGCCTTTAACTTCTGTGTTAGCTTAGCATCATGTGACCAACAAGCAATAGCAGCAAACCTTCAAAAAAGGAAACTACTGCAAAAACCATGTGGGAGAAAAGCAAACGATAAAAATCCCCTTATATTTTATAGCGTCTGGTCTTCACTGTTTCTTTAACATGTGTTCCTGCCATTCAGAACCATCTCTGGCACACCTCTATGTTAAATCAAGATTAAAGTGATTTTTTTTTTTAAAGAACTTAGTCCCTACAGCAGATTATGCTTCATCAGAAGTTTGAAAGAGGTACATTTAAAACATGAAGAAATCAAAGCTCAGACTCTTTTAGTTTTCAGTCCTCTACATTCTACTATGAATTCCAAAACAACCAACCTCTTTTCTCAGTCTCTTTCTAAACCATCACCTTTCTTTTTCATTCCCATTCAGCACGAGCAAAACATCCATCCAATATGATGTATAGAAATACAAAGTCCATCATCAACATTGGGAATAACCTCAAAGAGTTCCTTGGACATGTGGCCATTTAACAGTGGGTCTCAGTTTGTCCCCATATTTATTAGGTATGTTAGCAGCAATATTACAAACTCTGCCCCCAAAGAGATTGTTCTTTCTTACCTTTTGCCACATTTTGATAAAAAAGAGCTCTCTGGAAAAGTTGAAGAACACATTGGTATCATAAGCATCATCCCCAATATTAGAAATGGAAATATTAAGTGAAATGTTCTTTACTGCTCCCAACGCCAGATAGGGGGTTTTCTCATCAACACTGTAATCAGAAGAGAACACACAGGTTAGTCCTTACTACTTGCTCACTTTCTTTCTTCCACCTTCAATTGTTAACAAGACCAGGGTCAACATTAAAATGTATATCACACATGAGATGTGTGCATAATAATACCAGTTTAGGACTGAGTGCCAGCAATGTACGCATGCTAATCCTGGCTCTGACGCTGTCTATCTCGTGGTCAGGTGTGGAGATCCTGGACCTCATAGAGGTCTGGGGAGAGGAGGCTAACCTCCAGGATCTCTGCACCAGATGCAGAAATGCCAATGTATATGGCTAGATGGCTGCAAGCCCAGCCTAGAAGGGCCACATGCTCAACCCAGGAGCAGGTGTACATGAAAATAAAAACTGAGGCAAATCTACACCAAGGCCAGGGAATGAAGTTCCCAATCGGGAGCAGCACCCCAGACCTGCCACTTTTATGAGCAGTCAGACTGCATCCTGGGATAGGGGTCAGTCTCTTCCCCTCCGCCCCTGTCATCATCTCCAACCTGGAGATGCCTGTCCAGGAGGGCGGGACTGTGGAGTATGAGGATGATGAAGAGGAAGACGAGGTCAGCCAGGAAACGATGCCCACCAGCCAGGAGGTCATCATCTCCATGGAGCTGGTACCCCCTCCCAAAATGTCTCCCAGGATATGGACAAGGCAGGGGAAGGCATATCAGGTTAGTCCTCTACCTTTCCCTGTCTACACAGTGGGAACCTGTCACGCCTTCTCATGAAGTTCCTGGAGAGGCCTCCCTTACTCCCAACCCTGTGGTGGGGCACCCTCCCACCACAAGCCACCATTAGGAGGATGGGGTCACAGACACACACACACAGCAGTGCCGCACATGGCACAGGCTCATGCCTGCACTCTCGGGGCAGCATCCACTCCTGGTCAAGAGTGGCAAGGTGGAGGACACCAAGCCCCTGCATGGGAACCTACTGGGAAGAAGGAAGTGCAGAGGATGCCAGTAGCACCCTCCCTGGCAAGTGGCATCTGCCACTCACACACACCTCCTCCAACACTTCCCCCCCCCCATCCTCCAGCGGGTGGGCATAGAAGTCCTCTCTCAGCAGGATGCTGCCAGTGCTAGGCCCAGTGTGTATGCAGAACAGAGGGAAAGTGAGCTGTCCCAACCCCCCACTCCTGCCTGCAGGCTCCAGGCCTGGCTGGCATCTTCCCATGCCTGCTTGTCCCTGGGATGTGGGGGTAGTGAGTCTCTCTTTGAGCTTCTGGAGGACGATGGCAGGTTGCATGCGTGTATCCCATTGCCAGAGGGCAGGGGCGAGCCATTCACACAGCTCCAGGAAGGTGGCCTTCTGCATGCATGGAGCTGGCTGTCCCACCGCTCCATGACAGTCTGGTCGCACCAGTCAGAACTGATGTCCCAGCACCAGAAGCAGCAATGAATGGTGTGCAGGGATGGGTGGGAGAGGCTGTGCTGCATGAGAAGCATGTGGAGTGGGGTGAGGAGGTGCCCCTGCGTGAGCTGCAGGTCCTAGTCCTGCAGTGCCACGAGGGCAGCCTACAGTAACTGTGACAGGAGTGCAGCAGAGGGTCTAAAAGCCGGCGAGTGCTTTCAGCAGATCCAGCTCCATGGAGGAAGTGCTGTGGAGTCCAGAAGGGCAACCAGAGCATGCAGTAAGAAGAGTCTGCTGTCCCTCAAGGAGGTAGGCAATGGAGAAGAGTCTGAGACAGCTGTAGAGGAGGGGCCCTTTAAGCACAAGCCTCAGGTTACATCTAGGTATCCCAGAAAAGCTCTGTCACGTCCAAGGAATGTGTCTGCTTTTCCGAAAAAAATTTCAGAAGCAGACGTGGTTTTTTGTCATCCCCGTAAACTTCGTTTCACGAGGAAGAAGGGATGTTCCCAAAGTGGTTTTTTCCCCCCGACATATGGCCCCATGTAGACAGGCCAACTGTCAGAAAAGCCACTTTCAGAAGAAAAGTGGAAAGAGATATGCAAATTGCAGTTCACAATTTGCATATTCTTTTCCGACTTTTCTTTGTAGTGTAGACATAGCTCCAGGAAGTGACTGCTGTCCTGATGCCCTGCCCAGAGTGCTTCAGGGGGACTTAATGGGATTTAGGCTCCAATCAGTTTGGATGTGCTACTTTGACATAATTCTGTGTTGTTTTGATGGAGATTTCTAGATTGGACATGCTGTTTCAAAATAGTTATTTCAGGAGTTATTATTCTGAAATAACTTATTTTGAAATAATGCTGTAGTGTAGATGTGCCCTCTCTCTCTCTCTCTCCCTTCCCCCCCAGTCATTAGGTACTTGCAGTACTTTAGACATTTTGGCCAGTCTAGAACCAGAAAAGCTGACAAACATAAGATCACACCCACAAACATGGTATTAGAAGTTAAATGGAGATACTAGAATAAAGTAAAAGGTTGTATGTTGAATGTAAGTTAGAAAATAAATCACCAATCTGGAATTGATCAATGGTGTAAAAGGAATCCAATTTTACTTAGGCTTGATCTAGTTTTAAAATTTAACTCTATATAGCTCAGGCGTCTGAAGCATCTGCACCCCTGAGCCATGTAGCTAGGCTGATGAACCTTCCCCCCCCCCCTTCTCCAATATAGAGACAGTCAGGTCTGTCCAAGAATGCTTTCTTCAACCTAGCTAGTGTTGCTGGGGAGTTGTGTTCCCATAGCAACAGAAAATCCCCTTCCATCAGCATGGACTATCACATTACAGGATTATGCCTTCAGAGCTACAGCACTGTATTTATGCTCCTATAGTGCCCGTACTGTAGCCATAACCTTTGTTATACAGAAAAGATGGAGAATGTCATTGGGAAGGAGTTGTGTGGTGGCTCAGTAAAGAGACTTCTAGTGGCATGTCAGGGGAAAGGATCAATAAGAATTTTAGATGAGATGGAATCAGCAAAGTCAAAAACATTCTTCCACTATTAATTTAGCATGTATACACACCAACCCTTGAAAACAACTCTTTAACATGAGTCGGCTTATCTACTGTGATTTTGCATCTTTACTTCTGTCTTTAGCCCCCCACCCCACCCCACCCCCCGGTTAAGAAATCATTCCTGTTACTGTACTACACAGAGTCCAGGTGTAAAGTCCTGCATTGATACAAAATTTTGTATCCGCATCTGTATATGCAGAAATTAGTTGCAGATATCCTCATCCACTTTCACAGATGTAGATACTCACAGATATAAAGCAGATAGCCACAAACTGGTAGGGTTCTATATACAAAATTTGTATCCATATCCATATTTGAAAAAATGAGCTGTGGATATCCACATCCATCGATATAAAGCAGATACCCGCAGATATGCAGGGATCTACCCATATGCTGACCTCATCACATCCTCTCCTGGTCAATGATATTGAAATGATAACACATGAGAAATTACACTTTATTCTTCACCCATCTTCACCTAAAGAAGGTTCTAGAGCCTGGTACCCATAGCTCTATCACAAGTGATTTAGGAAACTCGTGAGTGAGCAATACATTTGGGGTAAAATATTCTAGATGCTTTCTTTAAAGTTGACCTTATGAATTTATCACTGTAAATTATGAAGGACTTTTCCACAAAATAAAGAGGTATTTCTAGTACACTTATCTTCTTTGCCCACTTCGTAACCTTTATATGCTTACCATATTTGAAATTACAGCTTCTTACTGTTTCGGTATAAACTGCAAAAACTGTGCCTTAATTTTTAGGGTTGCAATTAATTACAGGCACAAATCCCACTACTGAGATGGCTAAGTAACAGATTTGCACTATATAACCTTCTAAAGGGTATGATTTTCTCTCACAATTATAAATGCAAACAAATGAAGGTACAATTTTTTCAAAATGAGTGCTGGCTGGGACCCCACTAAAAATTTGGCACTAAAATGTCAAAACTATTAGAGTCAAATCTTGCAATTTTTATATCAATAAAAGTTCTGCTGAAATCAGTGGGACTTCTGCTCACGGAGTTATCGAATTCAAAAGGCCAAATGTGGCCATTTCAAACATTTTTGATTGAAAAGCAAACAAATACCTTACCAAGACATAAATGGCAAACTACTAGAATCATCTAGTAATCAAAAGTATAGAGAAAAAATAAACCCTCATTAATGTGAATTACTTCCCAGTTAAGTTCAAAAATCACAGTATTTGCATGTACTTAAACTAGATTAACAACTCACAGGCTAAGATTCTTTAGTAAAATCTGGATGTATGTGTTGCTTTAGCAAGTGATGTGAGCCAGTGTTTCTCAATGTGGTCTGCAAAACCACTTTGAGAAAGCAGCTAACTGGTCGCACTGGTGTTTTTATTTACCGGCACTGCAGCCACGGAGCTTCGCAGCTCCCATTGGCTCCGGTTTGCCGTTTGATGACAAGGGGAGCTGCAGGAAGCAGCATGAGCCGGGCGGCCACTTCTCACAGCTCCTCTTGCCTGCAAAAGGTCAATGGGAGCTGTGAGACTCCTTGGCCACAGCACCAGTAAACAAACACACTGGTGCAGCCAGTTAACAGCTTTCTCGAAGTGGTTTTACGGACCACTTTGAGAAACACTGATACAAACTAACAAAGGACTCATCAAGTGAAAGGTTGTGCTAGCTGCAATGCCCTCTAATTATTAATGGCTAGAAGTTCCCATTATTTGAGAGGGAGAGTGGTTAGGACTGACTCCATATCCTATCAACAATTTAATTGTATTTCTTCTCATGTATATTAAATGCAAACAATAGAAAAAAAGACTCCTCTGATTTTGAAACATTTACAGATTGAACACAGTCACACTCAAAGAATGTTGTCATTTAATACTGAATAGTAGAACATGTGCTCAGAATAATTTTTTTAATAAAAAATTAAAGACACAGGCAGTAACAATAAATAAGTACTGAATGTCAGTACAATGTTACTACTTTCCATGGCGCCATTATCTGTTACAGTGAATCACATCTGAATGAAGGCTTTTGTGGCAATCTTAAACTAGCCACAAATCTTTCACAATATATTCCCCTCC